TGGTGATATTATGCTTGATGGTGTCAAGTCTCTCACTTAATCGTATTATATTACTAACTTACTGTTTAATTCATGCTTCTGAAGTGTAGACCTGATTTTGGCAACATGTTTCCAATGTATTTTAAATGCACTGCGGGACATAACCCTTCTTTTAATTTCATGCTTTACTTCTTCTTCTTCCTCGCATTTCAAGCTTATTGCGTATAGCATATTAGATTATTGCGTGCTCTCAACTTAGTGTTCTAGATGCACTTCCACAGTTATTAATTGTGAGCTTTCGATGCCTGTACCATTTTTGCATTAGTATAATTGTGTGGCAAGTACAATCATACTCTATGCCCAGAGAAGTCGAGAAATTTTCCAACCCGAAAAATTCCTAGACCGGACCGGGAATCGAACCCAGCCACCTCCAGCATGGTCTTGCTTTGTAGCTGTGTCTTTACCGACTGAGCTTAGGGAGGTCCCTCATGTTTTAATGTAATATAACATAACATAATATAATATAATATAATGTAATATAATATAATATAATATAATATAATATAATATAATATAATATAACATAATATACATAATATAATATAATGTAATTTAGTATTAAATAATATAATGTAATATATTTTAATATAATTTAATATAATCTAATATAATATAATATCATATAATATAATATAATGTAATGTAATGTAATGTAATGTAATGTAATGTAATGTAATTGTAATGTAATGTAATGTAATGTAATGTAATGTAATGTAATGTAATGTAATGTAATGTAATGTAATGTAATGTAATGTAATGTAATGTAATGTAATGTAATGTAATGTAATGTAATGTAATGTAATGTAATGTAATGTAATGTAATGTAATGTAATGTAATGTAATGTAATGTAATGTAATGTAATGTAATGTAATGTAATTTAATGTAATGTAATGTAATGTAATGTAATGTAATGTAATGTAATGTAATGTAATGTAATGTAATATGTAATGTAATATGTAATGTAATATGTAATGTAATATGTAATGTAATATGTAATGTAATATGTAATGTAATATGTAATGTAATATGTAATGTAATATGTAATGTAATATGTAATGTAATATGTAATGTAATATGTAATGTAATATGTAATGTAATATGTAATGTAATATGTAATGTAATATGTAATGTAATATGTAATGTAATATGTAATGTAATATGTAATGTAATATGTAATGTAATATGTAATGTTATATGTAATGTAATATGTAATGTAATATGTAATGTAATATGTAATGTAATATGTAATGTAATATGTAATGTAATATGTAATGTAATGTAATGTAATGTAATGAAATGTAATGTAATGTAATGAAATGTAATGTAATGTAATGAAATGTAATGTAATGTAATGTAATGTAATGTAATGTAATGTAATGTAATGTAATATAATGTAATATAATGTAATGGGGGGGCGACCCCGGCGTAGTGGTTAGCATTCATACCTCTCACGCCAAAGTCACGAGTTCAAATCTCACCCCCCGACAAGTCACGAATGACCCAGAAGCGTTAAAGTGACTATAATTAAAAAAAAAGAAAGTATTGTAATGTAATGTAATGTAATGTAATGTAATGTAATGTAATGTAATGTAATGTAATGTAATGTAATGTAATGTAATGTAATGTAATGTAATGTAATGTAATGTAATGTAATGTAATGTAATGTAATGTAATGTAATGTAATGTAATGTAATGTAATGTAATGTAATGTAATGTAATGTAATGTAATGTAATGTAATGTAATGTAATGTAATGTAATGTAATGTAATGTAATGTAATGTAATGTAATGTAATGTAATGTAATGTAATGTAATGTAATGTAATGTAATGTAATGTAATGTAATGTAATGTAATGTAATGTAATGTAATGTAATGTAATGTAATGTAATGTAATGTAATGTAATGTAATGTAATGTAATGTAATGTAATGTAATGTAATGTAATGTAATGTAATGTAATGTAATGTAATGTAATGTAATGTAATGTAATGTAATGTAATGTAATGTAATGTAATGTAATGTAATGTAATGTAATGTAATGTAATGTAATGTAATGTAATGTAATGTAATGTAATGTAATGTAATGTAATGTAATGTAATGTAATGTAATGTAATGTAATGTAATGTAATGTAATGTAATGTAATGTAATGTAATGAAATGTAATGTAATGTAATGTAATGTAATGTAATGTAATGTAATGTAATGTAATGTAATGTAATGTAATGTAATGTAATGTAATGTAATGTAATGTAATGTAATGTAATGTAATGTAATGTAATGTAATGTAATGTAATGTAATGTAATGTAATGTAATGTAATGTAATGTAATGTAATGTAATGTAATGTAATGTAATGTAATATCATATCATATCATATCATAGCATATCATATCATATCATATCATATCATATCATATCATATCATATCATATAATATTAAACAATAGCAAATGTTAATATATCGTATCCCATCCCGTTGATTCTTTGGATTGAATTATCCAATTATAGAATTCAGGGTTCAAGTTGCCTTAGATGTGGATGCTGATGATTACTTCGTTATAATGCTACATTGATAAATTAATCATATCGAATGATTCAAAATACTCTTGCTAAAAAATAATATTCTGAATTAAACCCAGTTTAATCATGGTCGGATAAATTGGAAGTTATCTTGTTTGAATAAATTTTAATTATTTTTGATTATGTATTGATTTTCTAAACGAATGAAATTTTATACTTTATTAATTTTTTAATGTTATCACAAGTTTATATTTCGAATTTAACCATGCATGACTAGTGAAGTAATGAAATTTGGTTGGAATGCTTAAATAAAACAGCGAAAAGGTTATCTTCCATTCAATTCCACTTAATTAATGTTGGTATCCATGGCAGATACGTAATTCGATTTGATTACGTGATTTATGTAATTAAAATTAAATTTGCTGTAATTAATGTAAATAAAATTAACAAATGTAATTAAAAAGTACCCAAATCCTTAATTTTGAACTATTTTAAAAAATAACTAAAATCCTGAACATATAAGCGCATGCATCAATTTATTCAAAAACTCTTCATACACACTTAGTTTTTTCAACCGAGCTCGGCTGTGCAAATCTCGGCAAAATAAGTTTCACTGAGAACTCAGCAAAAGTGACATTTGATAGCTGAGTCTCGGATAATGCTTAGCTGAATCTCAGCAAACAAATGAAATGTTTGCTGAGATCTCAGAAAAACTTATTTTGCCGAGATTTGCACAGCCGAGCTCGGTAGAAAAAACTAAGTGTGTACACCCAAAAATACGCCCATATACTATACGGCGCTGAATATTTTTTACAAGACTACAAACATGACCAACTCTGTGAATACTTATACTAAATTTCTTGAAGCACTAAGCAAAATGTGTCGGGTGTCACTATTGTCGCTAGAGTTGAAAACTGAAATAACCCAAGCATCCAAAAGTTCCGCATTCAACAATAAAACTCACTTTCAAGTTCCATAAAGAAAAATGACGCATGATTTCATGAACATAGCGCATTTTCATGTTATGAAAATATACCATGAACAATGTTCATGACATCATGAGCTATGTTTGCGTAACGCATCCAAGATGCCCGAAATCATGAATCATCCGAGTTGAAATCATGAATTAAATTAATGAATTTAACTTTAGCTTCTAAAGAAATGAAGAATTGACTGGATTCAAACCATGAGCCTTGCGATCATCAAACTCATGCTTTGACCACTAGACTATCAGAAATTGTATAAGATGGAAAGCAAACTGCGTATAATAGATACCTTTGTAGTGCGGTGAACACGGTTTGCCAGGTAACGCTTGTAGCGGTCATGATTCCGCTGCATTTGGAAATCATGAATTTCCACCATGAAATCATGAATCAGTGTTATGATTTAATGGGATGGCAAGTTTTTTTTTTCATTTCATGATTTTTTATTCATGAAAATGGAATCGAATTTTTTCCCGTGTAGTTCAAATAAAGTTCCGATAGCACTTTCTTCCCAAGCAACCAAACGTTCGCATTCTACGATAAAACCCACTTAAAGTTCCACAAAGTGCATAAAATATTCCAATAGATCTTTATGACTACTTTGTGCTTTAGAAAGCATACGAGGAACTTCGGGCTCCAACTTAGCAAATTGAAGTTTGAAAAATGTCCCAAAAAACATCGCTACACCGTTCGAAAAATTCATGTAAATTTCTGCGAAACATAGCGCACATAAAATTAACGCTAGATTTGGCATAAATTTGTGTATGTTGTATTTCATAATAAAGTCAGTCAGCTGGCTCTGAAAACTCAAACAGGAGGCGTCCCAACAGCTCGCTTTAATATAACTCAGATGGCTTAGCGGTTCGTGCTGGGGCTCTCACAAAGAACGACTGGGTTTAATTCTTCAAATAGCTCAAATGCTACTACTAATGTTAATAAATCAATACGCGTTCATATCTAGCTATGTCCACTAGTTTAATAACGTCATTTCAAATATGAGGGGCGTTCATAAATAATGAGACAATTTGAAAGGAACCTGCGCTAATCACAACCACGGTATCTGAAAAAAAAAATACGAGTGCTGGTCGGTTGAGTCTACTTTGGTACAAAATGCGCAATACTAATAATACTATACTAACCTAGCTGGTCAAACGGTGACACTTAAAAAAACACAACCGTTTCAAAATCACCATGCATAGACAAAATCATGGATATTGTAACTAAACGGTTACAACATGTATAGAATTCGCCTTGTGAAATGAGTCGTTTGTTATGAATATTCACTACCACACTTATCACGGACGTCTCAACACAGACATTTTAGCTGCAGACAATTAAATTGTGATTTGGGGTCATAATCTCTATGGTTAAGAATTATGTACGATTTGTTCAGTTCCATAATGATAGACATCGGTTTTAGATTTGTGTTTTCTTGAAAAAGTCCTTTCAATCTCTATGTATATTTCTCTTTCATTTTATTCATGGTATATGTGCAGATTTTCTATTTCAACAGTATATCAAATGTGTATAAATTAGTCGTACATTTTAATACCAAAAATTCTGGCTAACTCCTGTCGTCTATTTACGACGCACTGAGCACAGCATACTACGTTCGTATCGCAGCAGGCAATGTGAGGCCATTCGCAACGTTGTAAAGCTTGACTCCAATGCTGACCGATCGGGCAGGGGATAAGACAAGCCTGCCCTTGCAGACACTTGTAGAACGATAGGCAGCTTGCGTGATTTGGTAAGTGGATTGGATTCATAGGATCGTCTATTGATGGGCATCCAATATCTGGTCGACAGTCTGGAGCAGGACACACGTCAGGCCAACAAGGATCACTTGGATCGGGGAATGGTTCGCATGGAAGGGTTGGATCGCAGCAGGCATAGTTGGGCCATTCGCATCGTTGCAGAGTTTGGCTGAAATGTTCTCCTGCACGACACTGCATCAAACATCGCTGACCATTGGAGCACTTGTAGAATCTTGTGCAATCATTTTCATGTGGTAGAAGCAAGGGATTCATAGGGTCGTCATTCAAAGGACATCTGTTGTCATCGAAGCACTGAGTCACACACGGAAGGCAAGGATCATTGGGCGTGGTGGGTGCCGGTGTTGGTGCTGGTGTTGGAGCTGGTGTTGGAGCTGGCGTAGGAGCTGGCGTAGGAGCTGGTGATGGTGGTAAACATTCATCTGGACACGGCCGACATTCAACGTTCGGATCACAACAGGCTATGTGAGGCCATTCACAACGATTGTTCTGTATGCTCCAGTGTAAGCCAGCAGGGCAGCTCATCTCACACGCGTTGCCACCACTACATATGAAAAACTTTCCACAATTAGTTGGATGTGGCAGTTTTAATGGATTCATTGGATCCTGAGGTGCTAGACATCTGAGATCCGGTTGACATGGTCCTTGAGGACATATTCCACAATCCTGGGATAATACTTGGCCAACGAAGGCAAGTATTACCAACGATTTGAACATATTTCAACTATGCAACTTGCCAACGTAGCCTTACTTAAACGCTGGTCAGTATTAGAGAATATACAACGCTACTAAGTACGATGCCTGATCTACAGCTCGTTTTATACATTTGGCGTACTCCGCTTAGTTAATCATCAATCAAAATAATATCTGCTGACAACCGCCAAAATCAAGTTCATGTTCAATGATTAAAGCATGTGCACCTGAAACGCAAAATGATATCATTCCATAGGAATGGCGCAAAATTTTGATAAAAAAGTCGAGCAGGAGAGGCACTTTGCAAGAACTGATATGTACCTCAGTGTCATAGAGTGGATGATGTCTTGTGTCACTACGTTGCGATATGATGCTATCTTACAAACGTTGAAAAGATTACTCATATTTGTCAAGAATTTTACGTCATTTTGAATTTAGTGTAAGCTAACTTTTTACTGAACTGATCCGGCTCAAAACAAACAATTTCTAAAAATAAAAATAAAATGCTATGGCAATTCAATTAACTATGCTATGTATCTGATTAAAGCCATACCTCCTTATTAATCAATTATCAAAAGGGCTATCGAGCACAGTACTTAATCAGCCTACCAGTACGATTATAGATGCTTTTCGGGCTCAAAGAGTTTTAGTATACTGGGCGAAGGGGTACTTGGGAAAAAAACGCAGTAGGCTCTGCCCGCGAACGCTTGGTGTTGTTTTCGCTGGCGCTGATTTCACCTGTTTTCCGCATATTTTTTAATTGTATCAAGCAAAAAAATATTAGTTTTCGAGTGTGGATAAGTGTAAATTAAGATCTATCACGTTTTAAGAAGCTTTTTTAGTGACATTGTAATTAACGTGAAAACTCTGGGACAAGAATTTGTATCGAGTAGCTGTGTTGCTATGGTGCCGCGTTAGTCGGTTTTTCTTTTCGCTTGTTTTTGGTGCTATGCCTCCCTCCCAAGAAGAGTTTTACCGGGTATTTCTTTTCTTTTCTTGGTGCTGGCGTTCTGCCTTCCGGAGGATGCACGCGAATGAGGTGTCAGGCAAAAATTCGGTGCAAATGAAAATCTTCTTCTTTGTTGTGTTCGGTTGTAAAAACAAACCGGTGGTTTTTCGGAGGCAGAATTTGGTGAGATCCATCTGATTATAAATCAGTCATAAATGCATATTTCCATATATTACTAAATACGCGCCAGATTTCGAAACATAACATATCGAAATATGGAAGTGTGTTTGCAGTACCATTATTCATATGATAACGGTAGTGTTTACATGCGACGCTTATTGTATGTGAAAGTAACCTCGGAATGGACGTGAATTACCAGGCATTCTGAAATGGGTTGCTGAATCTGCAGTAGAGCTATCACTTTCTAACTCCCGGACTAAACTTGCTTTAAATTATTACATCAAGGATTTTTTTAAGCAAGTTTCTTCCATAATTGTAGAAAGATAATGATATACTGCCGTTCTACACATAGTTGTCCCATGTTGTTGTTGGTGACTAATACGTCAGAGGCGCTATCACACTGAACATACAAGAGAGAAATTATCAAGTCCTTGAAATGTATTAGCTTTGGTTTCTTGTTTGCCTCAGTCCTTATTCGCTACTACCAACAATCAATTCGAAACTAACGATTTTAAATTGGCTCACTACTTGACTAGCCTATTGGTCCCAAGCAAATCGATCGACGTACCCCATTCTAGTATAAATTCCAGTACTACACTATGTTTGTTTTGATTCGGTATGAAAGTTTGACAGATAAAATGAGGGGTTCGTGGATTTTCCTATGTTTCGAGGGGTGCATCGATTAGCTTGGGACTGAAGATATTATCAACAGTCAATTGGCAAATCAAAGTTGGCACTCGTGGAGAATAGATGAACTATGAAAGTGATGATGGTTTCAAAATTTTACACGGTGAGGTATACGAGTTCAATCTTAAAATGCCTTTATTTTGCAAATGGAGCATTTTATTTAAATCTGGTTAATGCTACGTTAGGAGAAAACATAAGGACTATGCAATAGATATATAATATAGAAAAAATAATTTATTTTCAGATTTTTAGGTGTATGCATAGATTTCAGCTTTTCTACAACTGTAGCAACAACCAGATTTAAATACAATGCTCCATTTTTAAAATAAAAGCATTTTAAGATTGCACTCGTATAGCTCCCCGTGGAAAATTTTTAAAACCATCATCACTTTTATAGTTTGTCTATTCTCCACGAGTGCCAACTTTGATTTGCCAATACGAAACTATCGATTTGAAATTGACTCACTACTTGACTAGCCTATTGGTCCCAAGCAAATGATTAACGTATCCCATTCTAGTCGTAATTATTGTACTACACTATGTTTGTTTTGATTATCTATGAAAGTTTGACAAATAAAATGAGGGGTTCGTGGATGTTCCCATGTTTCGAGGGGTGCATCGATTAGCTTGGGACCGAAGAGAGTACCAGAGCTGAGCCAGAAAGTTGAGCACGTTTCTTCGGGACCGACTAGTCTTAGAGTTACCTCTATGATAGTACCAGAGCTGAGCCAAAAAGTTGAGCTCGTTTCTTCGGACCCTTCTGGTCTTAGAGTTACCTCTATGCTACTACGCAAAAGGCTCTTTTCATGCACCACAAATGTAGAGTGTGCTAGCTGATTTTGAGAGGAAATGTCGTCCAATCCATATAAATTATATATGATATAATTATGAAATAAACCACTCGATCACCCACACTTGCATAACGCATCCAACTAGCAACAACCACCAGGCATTTCCGAAGCACATGGAAGAACCACCGCGTCAGCACCTTAACGACGGACAACACGCCACGTAACGACACACCATCGGACGACGACCGGACTGCAGCATCAGCATGTTTATGTTTTAAATAGGACCAGTTCGATAATTTCCAGTTCAGTTAGTTGCGATTTTCATTCAGTGACTTAAACCCGCGGTTTAGTCGTAGTGATTTTATGTAATTAATTAAGTTAAAGTGAATAAATTGTTTTTTTTTATGTCCCACTCGGACCTACGACTATAATTATATGTTTACAATAATGACGATTTTTAAAACTCAAAAAAATGTACATTTTATTGCACAACTTGCAAAATTCCATCGGGGTGGCCTTATTTTTCGATTATCTACACACAGAAATTCATAACAACCCAAAATTATGTTCTTTTCACTCATCTCCCATGTTCCGTACGATAAGCCAAATTTGGGTAAACCGGCTCAAAGTAGTTTGCATTTAAGCACGGCAAAAAAAATTACCCATCGCTAAGTTATTTTCAATTTTTCTACCCAAAATTAAGTTCAATTAACTCAAATTTGGGTATATCGCATATTACTCAATTTTGGCTTCTCGTACGGAACTAGACGGTTGAGTCGAATCTTTCGTTCTATTTTTGACAACAATAGCGAGAGGAAATGAAACGGGCAGAGGTCAAATAACTCAAATTTAAGTTTAAAAAACCCAAGCGGTGGGTAGTTTTGTTTTTCTGTGCAGATCTGAACTAATTTACAGCTGAAATACGCCTTTTTAATGCACCACCAACGTAGAGTGCGCCACACGAGTTCGAGAAGAAACGTTAACCAAACCGTTTGTTTACATCAGAATAATAATTTTTCACAACACAAATTAAAGCATTTTTCATTCAACATCTTGCCAATTTCTATAGGTAATTGTCGTATTGTACGATTTTCCGCAGATCCGAACTGATTTGTACCTTAACTATTCACACACAAGAAATCCGGAAGATCATAACCACTAAGGCACTTTTCTAATTTTCCATATTTCGCAACAAAAATTTTCCTGCACACCAGCAGGATGTTTGCACAAACGTTACAGAATTAAATTTTTCAACTGTAGATTAAGTTTTGGAGCATCTCAGATGAATCAACTTATCAGGAAAAGTAAAAAAGTGTTCCGCTTTCTACGTCTCAAGGCAAAATTTTCTGCTTACAACACTCTTTTTGACGTTCTCCTATTCACCACCAGAGGCTGAATCGATCGTTAAGTTCCTATTAAAAAGGCCTATAACCATACATTAAAAATCCGGAAGATCATAACCTCTGGTACAAATTTATAAATCTTAATTTTTCTCGTCAAAAATATATGGAAGCATAAGCCAGATCACTGCAAACCCGATACAGAAAACCAAGTATTCCACGGTGGATAAATTAATCAGGAAAGTTGAAAATATTGTCCTCTTCCTATGCTTCACGGTGAACATTTCCAACTTCATCAATCTTTTGAAGGTTCTTCTATTCACCGCCAGAGGCTGAAACAATCGCTTAGTTTCTTTTGGATTAGTTCCTTTTTAATAAAAACTAATATTTGCCGTGAGACATAGGAAGTGGAACACTTTTTCACTTTTCCTGATAAATTGTTTCATCTGAGATGCTTCAAAACTTAATCTACAGTTGAAAATGTTAATTCTGTATCGTTTTTGCAAAGATCCTGCTGGTGTTGAGGAATATTTTTGTTGAGAAAAATTGAAAATTAGAAAAGTGCCTTAGTGGTTATAATCTTCCGGATTTCTTGTGTGTGAATAGTTAAGGTCGTTAAGGTACAAATATGTGGAAAATCGTACAATAAGACAATAACTGATGGAAATTGGCAAGATTTTGAATGAAAAATGCTTTAATTTGCGTTGTGAAAAATAGTTATTCAGATGTAAACAAACGGTTTGGTTGACGTTTATTCTCGAACTCGCGTGGCGCACTCTACGTTGGTGGTGTTTCAAAAAGGCCTATAGGCGAATCTAAAAGAAACTGTAGAGTGCATTGATGGCAATGTGGTACAGAGAGAGGTGAAGCAGATCGTGAAATATTGTTGTATTAGTAAACCAAAAAATCAACGTAAACGCAAGTAGTGACGTCACTAATTGCTTGAATCGTACAGGGGTTTTACTCACACAACTTCACCGATTGCTTCACCTCGGTAATCCAGCTCATTGCATTGATGGTGCATGGAAAGAGCCGTTTCATAAAAACAACCGAGTTCCCTGCGGTCGTTTCTCTGCTTTGGCCATTCCTTAACCGACAGTTGCAAAAGAAAAGTGCGATTGAAGTTTCGAATGAGTTTTGCTTATTGCAGGTAATATAGTGTAAAGAACTACTTCGGCCTAAGTGCCCGTTTTGGGCCTATCAAGCAGAAAACGTCAAATAAATCCATGATTTCGGTGTTAACAGGTAAATTATGCATTTGGTACGATACTTTAGTTTAAATTCTATCGAACGAAGTCAATAAGAACGCGAGATATGAGTATTTACACCCAATATTCTCAAATTTAAATGAAACGCTCCGACCGAATCAATCTTTATCTTCATCCGATAGGCCGAAGTGAATTCATTTTCGTTTGAATGGCGTTTCAATGCGTTAGGTGTTAGACTTTTAACAATATCTCAACAATTTGTTTCTCTTTATTAAATCTTACGGTACGTACGGAAAGGTAAATAAATTTGGAAGCCATCAGTAATAATTATTCCGTTTGGTGCTAAACTGCGCTTGATTAGGAAAGGTTAAGTGCGGGTTGTGCTTAATAGGCTGGAAATGGGGTAGTTAATCCTACGTTACTATAACCTATTATATTACTTCCATTTGAACAAAATTGCTATTTTTAATGAAAACTGTAAAATTACCTTCGCTTAATTCACTAAAGCTAATTTTTAAACGTAAAATATTCAGTACGACTGGTATGCCTAGAAACTTACAATGCAGCACGAAATTATCAGGGGCGAGATGTGCAGTCAATTCGGCCTACTGAAAAACCATCAATGAGATATAAATGTGTAAGGCTCATTTAGTTTGCCATCTCTTTCGTTCTCCCGCTGTTTGAACGGTTGAAGGAGTGTGACTTCGATCCCCTCGAAGATGGTTGCGTGTTTTACTGTTCGCAGATGATACCGCAATTGCCGTCAAAGGAAGGATGCCTCGCGAAATAACGAACAAACTTCAACGATGCCTTACCGTCTTTGCTGATTATGCAAACACCTGGAAAATTAAAATCAATGTCTCCAAAACTCAAGCAATCATGTTCCTCCATCGGCAATCGCACAAACTAAAGCCGGCTCCATCTCGTACTGTAATCATGGATGGTACAAGAATTGAGTGGTCTGTTGAAGTAACCTATCTCGGGATGTTGTTCAATGAAAAACTCTTTTTTTTCCGTTGTGGGAATCATGTACAAACACTCATAGGAACAAAATCATGGTCACTCAGAATAGAGCGCTGAGGATGGTCCTTGACCGTCCTCTCGACATAAGAATTTCTGATCTCCACCTAGAGGCGAACGTTCCAAAATTAGATTTTGAAATTGATGACATTAAGACTAGGTGTCAATGCAGAAGCAATGCCGTTGCATCAGATCATGCTTTGATAAGCAATTTGTATATAGTAGGTTAGGTGTATATAAAGTAGTTGTAGGCTACTTGTATAGTTTTCCAAATTAAAAACAAACCAATCCCTCCAAGGTGGAAAATCTTTCGACAGGCCTGATGGGACTAGAACCATAAATAATAATCTTAAAAATTTCAAATGAACTAAGCTGAAAAGCTACGTCTATGTCACTGGATAATTAAAATACACAAATTTATGAAATAAAGATCATTTAAAGTAAAAAAATAAAATAAAATAATTAAAATCATGTATCGAAGACTTGAAGAAACAAACATTGAATCACTGAAAAAAAAAAAAATTAATAGCTATATGTCTTGACGTTCTACTAAAATGTGGCCTTGAGCAGAGTTGTAGCTTAGAAAATTGTCTATGAGTAATAGTAATAGTAATAGCAAGCTTACCCCTAAAAATCTTTATGGTGGAAGGCTAGGATGAGGATAACACAAAGTTTAACCAGGGCCAGTGCAGTATAAGTTCCCAACCAAATGACCTCAAATATTGAGACAATGATCAAGACCTGATTTGAAACAAGCTAACTCTATTGTATAACTGTCAAATTCACGTCAACGTAACGCAAACGGATCTAATGTGGGTCAAAATACTGTAGACATCAATCCAATATTTATTTTTCCATACATAAAATGACATAGTTCCTCCATTACTGGCTCACCCACCCTAATTAAATTTGATACTTAGTTGAGTTCAGACTTAGTGCATAGTGATTTCTTTATCAATTCTAGGAAGTGATCTATCCTCTAGTTCTAGGGCTTGTGTTTCTTTCCTTTGTAACTTCATTTGTTGTGGTCCAATATAAGAAAGATTCTATAATTTCTGATCGCACCGGATGTTTATTTGCCAACTAGTTTGAAACAAAATGAGTAATCTTTTAGTGCAGTTTATTTATACTGTGTACCAAACCATACATTAATAACACAGCAATCAGTTGATACAGTTAACAAACCACTCTACCATTCAACCTAAACTCGAGATCCTGTCGTGCAGGCCCTACAGTGAGGGGGCGCATGTTACTCCGGGAATGCATGGCTTTACGCAGTTAATCGAGGGGTCACAGCACGCCAGCCATGGCCAGTCACACACGAGCTTTTCGTCGTTGAAGTGAAGTCCTGGTGGACAGATCATTTCACAGGCCAAATCCGAACCATTCTTGCACTTGTAGAATTTTCCGCAGTTGAAGTGAGGCAGAAGAATAGCCTGTCCAGATCCGACCGTAGTCAGACAGAGTTGGTTCGGGTGGCAGTTGAAATCCGGGCATCCAGTGTTGCAGTCATCGTTAGGTGCTGAAAAGAATTGATGATCATTCGTTTTGAGATACCGTAATGCACCGAAATCCAGACACTTAGTCCATAAATCCGGACACTTTTAAAAGTTGATAGAAAAGGCCACATATTATCTAAATGCCACGTAAATTTTATAGTGTCGTCCATGTTCATCTCACATAATTAATATGTTGTCAAGTGAATGTAATATTAAATTAAAATTTAATGTCCGGATTAAAATACTGCCTGGCATACGGTGCATTACGGTATGTACTGGCTAGATCAAAATTGAGCATCTAGCAGAATACTTACGTGTTGGGGCAGGTGTTGGTGCCGGTGTTGGGGCAGGTGTTGGTGCTGGTGTTGGTGCTGGTGTTGGAGCCGGGGTAGGGGCAGGTGTTGGAGCAGGAGTTGGGGCTGGAGTTGGAGCTGGCGTTGGGGCTGGAGTTGGAGCTGGAGTTGGGGCTGGAGTTGGAGCTGGAGTTGGAGCTGGAGTTGGACCTGATAAAGAAATTGAAAAAAAAAATGCAGATTTATTTTTTTAAACATTCACCAGGAATTTCTTTTACAGTATTATAGCCCCTAAACTGATGTTGAAATGTCTTTTTAGATGTACTTATTGTATTTTATCGATAAATCAGATAATATTTTTCCCATATGTAATACTTGGCACCCTCATCCTGCACAGTTACAGCTTCAACTAAAGGGTAGAACATTCACTCAAAGTACCTAACTATATCTTTCAAGTATTTAGGTGTCTGGTTCGATTTCAAAAGCACGTGGGGAAAACATATTGCGTATGTGAAATAAAAATGCCAACAAAGAATTAATTTGCTTAGTACAATTACAAAAACACACATCCTGAAGCTGCAACGGTTTCAATACCGTTGCCTCCGAATCGCGCTTGGCTGTATGCACTCGACGCATACGGTGAGCCTCTAAGTACTGGCGGATGTTCTCCCATTGACAGATCGTTTCGTGGAACTGTCCTTGCGATTTCTTATCCGTTGTGAAGTAATGAACCCATTGGTAATTGAAAAATTTGAGAAGCTGCTCGACAGAAATCCTCAAACAAGATTCATGAGTCTCTATAACGAGTACATGACACTAGAGATTGGCCATTCTTCGTACAATTCCATTCGTGTTTGCCTCCAAGACTTCAATAGTTCCTCTGTAAATTTTGATCTTACCATGTTGCAAGAGATCCGTGGAATACCAGATCACCATTGGTCGTTGGTTGTTACCTAATTTTTTTCCAAACAAGTACCACCATGTCAGTAACAATAGGAGTTTTTCACAGATGGGTCTACTATAAACGCTTCCACTGGCTGTGGAGTATTCAACGAATTTCATAGCGCCTAATATCAACTGCAAAATCCCTCTAATCACTATTTCATTTTTACGGATAGCCTTAGCTCGTTGGATGCTATTCGTTCAATGAGGCCGATGAAGCACTATTTCCTGACCGAAATCCGAGCCAAATTGAGTACTTTTCTAACTGCTCCTCACTTTAGTCTGGGTCCCTTATTATTGCTCTGTATTTTTTATTCTCAATTACCTGTCAACAAAAATGGAATGAGAGTGATCTGGGAAGATGGTTACATTCTATTCTCCCACAGGTGTCGAATCAGCCGTGGTTCAAAGGATTGGACATGAGTCGTGACTTTATACGTGTCATATCGAGGCTCATGTCCATTCACTACTCGTTAGACTCGCATTTCTTCCGAATCGGGCTCGCAGGCAACAATTTGTGCGCTTCTGGTAGTGGTTATCACGAGATCGACCACGTGCTTTGGTCATGCACCCTCCATTGTGTTGCTAGATTCGAGTTATACACATTCCTCAGGGCCCGAGCAAAACAACCTATGCCCGTTAGAGACACACAGCAAAAAAAAATTTTGATATCACATCAAAGTGGATGCACTACAATCATGTCGAAAATTTCATGTAATTTTTATGACCACATAAATAAACAAATGCAGTAAAAGCAGCGTAATGTCAGTTCATGTTGTCCTTTTTAGCAAGTAATATTACACCATATTTTCGACATGATTGTAGTGCATCCACTTTGACGTGATATCAAAATTATTTTTTTGCTGTGCATCTTGGCGAGCCGAGATCTCGACTATTGGAATTTAATTTATGTGTTTTAAAACGGATCTGAGGATTTAGTAGTTAGTGTCATTTTGTGTTCTCCCAAGTTGTTTGCTGCCCATCGGTGTACCATCATGTCTGTCTTTTTCATCAGTATTTCGGTTAGCTCGAGATCAACAGCACATTGCTCTCCAAACCATGTGTTATCAATCCCTACCCTGCTATCCATTTGTTACAAATTGCTACCCCTAACCTTGAGATAGCCGCGAGTAATCAGCCCCCGCTTTACTAACGTTAGTTTTAAGTAACTCACACACCAACAAATTCTGAATTTTACTGGCGATGTAAACATCCATGCATGCAAACATTCATACGTGTGAACTTCCTTTTCATGCAGGAAATGTCATTTACACCGTTTTTTACACCAAAATGACATTTTTTCAAAACTCATATATGCACATATAGCAAATTTCCATCAGGAATGGTCTTATTTTACGGTTTCAGCTCAAATAAGCACACATTAAAAATCCGGAAGATCATAACCGCTGGGACAGTTTTTTAAATCTTCAGATTTCTCACCAAACATATGTGGAAGCACTGCAAAATCGATACAGAATACAAAATATTCCATGTGGAAGATGATTTCAAGCACCTACGATGGATAAATTATTCAGGAAAGGTGAAGATATTTTCCTCTGCCTATGCTTCACAGCGACAATCTCAGCCCTCAGCATTCTTTTGATGAATCCTCTATTCGCCACCAGAGGCTGAAACGATCTGTTAGTTTCTATTGAATTCGCCTATTCCTCAATAGGCAAATCCAACAGAAACTAAGCGATTGTTCCAGCTTCTGGCGGTGAATAGGGGAACTTTCAAAAGAGTGATGAGGTTCGAAATGTTCACCGTGAAGCCACAAACGAATGACAGACGGAGCGGCTCGAAAACTTTGGTGACTAACCTGCTATTGCAATTTTTCAGTGTATCACATGGCAACATCACTACTACTGGATTGTACCACATGGCAACACTACTACCAACAATCAATACGAAACTAACGATTTTAAATTGGCTCACTACTTGACTAGCCTATTGGTCCCAAGCAAACGATTAACGTACCCCATTCTAGTCAAAATTCTAGTACTACGCAATGTTTGTTTTGATTCGCTATGAAAGTTTGACAGATAAAATGAGGGGTTATTGGTTTTTCCTATGTTTCGAGGGGTGAATCGATAGCTTGGGACCGAAGAGAGTACCAGAGCTGAGCCAAAAAGTTGAGCACGTTATTTCGGGACCTTCTAGTCTTAGAGTTACCTCTATGCTACTACTGGACTGAACTAGCATTTTCACCAAATGTACTAGAATGTTTTGGTTCTATCTCTTTCACTCTACTCAAAACTGAAATGCATAAAAAAATGACAAAATGATACACTCTTTGCACACTGTCAAAGAATCATTGTACACAAAATCAACTTTGTTCCAAACCAAATCAAAAATACTATCCCATCTGGTGGATGATGGCACAAGCTTCTAAGAAAATTCTATTACTGCGAACCACATTATTTTAATGGATTTCTTCGCCAGTTAGTCGTCTATCACTTCATTTGTAGTGAAGCATAGGAAGAGGTCAATATTTTCACCTTTCCTGATTAATTTATCCACCACAGGTGCTTGAAATCCTCATCCACGTGGAATATTTTGTTTTCTGTATCGGGTTTGCAGTGATCCGGCTGGTGCTTCCATATATTTTTGACGAGAAAAATTAAGATTTATAAAATTTTACCAGCGGTTATGATCTTCCGGATTTTTAATGTGTGGTTATTTCAGCTGTAAATTAGTTCAGATCTGTAGATAATCAAAAAATAAGACCGCTCCCGATGTAATATTCAACAACTTTTTTATTCTGCGTACATACCCCCCGAGCTTACGGAAGAATGTTAGTAAACATCAAAGTAGTTGTATGAAAATGAGTTGTTTTTTGGTTGAAAAAGTAATGTTTTTCTAAAAGTAATGATTGTGCAGTGGACATAAAAATTAATAACTGTTTATAAATTTCTTGTTGGAATGCTTTGTTGGCTCGATAATTTGTTTTCACTGCCGCTAAAACAGAGCCATCTATTGCAATATTACACTTTGGATCACCCAAATTGAAATTCATTTGAAAAAAGAAATGGCATTCTTCAAACGGAAGTTGCATAAATTGCTATTTCAATTTCAATAAAAGTTCGTGATTTTTTCATGAACCCAATTGAATCATTTAATATTTTTTTATGAAAGTGCATCAAAAAGCTATATGTTGATTGCCTAAAAATATTCATACGTCAATCCGTTCCCGAGATTTCTTGCACCCAGATTTCAAGTGGACCATGTTTTAGAGTTTAGAGCAACATTGAGGCTGAGACTGCGAGATTTTTTGTTTTTAATTGATTAAAGCCACAAAAAAATCATCATCAACAATCATGCCACAGAATCAAACTTTTTACTCTGAAATTTTGGCAGTGGCGTCGCCCTCACCTCAATCTACCTGTTCAACAACTCTCAAAACGTAAAGAAATAAAACAATATTGATTCCAATGGATACAAATAAGTGAAACTAGAACATCCTGTTCCTTTTGAAACTGATTTGAATTTAACCCTAAATAACGTTTTCAAAGTTGTTCAACAGGTAAAATTGAGGTTTCGCGACGCCTTTGGAGCCTTAATGTCTTGGGAAAAGTAGCTTATCTTGAAAAAATATAACGAAGAGAATCTGTAAATGTTACTTAGGACCTAATGCAATGTTCAGCTTGAACTCTTCTCAACGCGTCAAAGTTCCACAGCCTACTATTTCCGAAATATGTAGGGGAAATTTTTTATCGTCGCGGGGTAAATGATATCTTAGATTGTTATTTTTTTTTTGGCAAAACGGTGCTCTGGAACATTATGTACCTTCATAAAATAAATCAGTGCTCTACCCGGATAAAAATAACTATACAATTACCATAAAATAAAATACAATTACAAGCAAACCTATTGGCCACAATCGATCTTATTGTGCGTATATAGTACACGAAATTTTAGCATATTGTTATTACATTAGATGCATAATACGTACTATTTAGTAAGAGTTTTCAACAATAGAACAACAATTCAATTAATGGTAAATGGCTCAAGTTTGTTCAGGAACAAGTGATTTCTCGTATGGTTAAGATACATAACGACCCCCTTGTTCCATTGTATATTACCCCCTTTTACCATAGATTCTGTTGTGGACACAATACATTCTATTGTTATTTTATCTTTGTGGAGAATAAGATTTATTGTAAATACAATAAACTCTATTGTAAAGGGTGATACGGTCAAAATTTGGTCAATATCAACTTGACGTATTTCTTTCAATTTTGCATTTAAAATACCTGAACACCCCTCATTTTGAAGGTGTGTGTGTGTAGAATGTTGCTCCTATTTTGATTTTGGAATTCACTCTTCAGTTGTCAAAATGCCGTCCAAGCAAGAAGAGCAGCGTATCAAAATTTTGCTCGCGCATCGTGAAAATCCGAGCTACTCGCACGCAAAGTTGGAAAAATCGCTAAAAGTTGACAAATCAACCGTTACAAATGTAATTAAAGTGTTTGGGGAACGTTTGTCGACAGCCAGGAAGTCTGCATCGGGGGGGAATCGAAAACCGGAAGCCGCTGAGACGACAAAGAGAGTTGCCGGTAGTTTCAAGCGAAACCCTAACCTTTCTCTCCGAGATGCCGCAAATAAGCTGGGTGTATCGTCTACAACCGTGCATCGAGCCAAAAAACGAGCCGGACTATCGACTTACAAGAAGGTAGTGACTCCAAATCGTGATGATAAACAAAATACGACGGCCAAAGCGCGATCCCGGAGGCTGTATACGACGATGCTGACGAAGTTTGACTGCGTGGTAATGGACGACGAAACCTACGTCAAAGCCGACTACAAGCAGCTTCCGGGACAGAAGTTTTATACGGCAAAAGGAAGGGGAAAGGTAGCAGATGTTTTCAAGCACATGAAACTGTCAAAGTTCGCAAAGAAATATCTGGTTTGGCAAGCCATCTGTACCTGTGGCTTGAAAAGCAGCATTTTCATAGCTTCCGGGACTGTCAACCAAGAAATTTACGTGAAAGAGTGTTTGAATAAACGTCTGCTGCCTTTCCTGAAGAAACATGGTTGTTCCGTACTGTTTTGGCCGGATTTGGCATCTTGCCATTACGGTAAAAAGGCCATGGAGTGGTACGCCGCCAACAACGTGCAGGTGGTTCCCAAGGACAAGAACCCTCCCAACACGCCAGAGCTCCGCCCAATTGAGAAATACTGGGCTATTGTCAAGCGGAACCTAAAGAAGACCAAAAAAACTGCTAAGGGCGAGCAGCAGTTCAAGGCAAACTGGCTTTCTGCGGCGAAGAAGGTGGACAAGGTGGCTGTACAAAATCTGATGGCAGGGGTCAAGCGTAAGGCCCGGCAATTCGGATTTGGAAAAGCGGAAGCCTAACTGAATATTTTTCCTGAATTTTATACTAATTGAACTTGAAAAAGAAATTTAATTTGATTTTTTAAATAAACGATTTCACCGATTTACACGCGTTTTCCCTTGACCAAATTTTGACCGTGTCACCCTTTATGGTTACAACACATTTCATTGTACCTCTACGGTTCTTTTTTTTACGGGTAGGACTTCATTTACCCCCTGACGATAATAAGTAAGGAATGCCAAAGTCGTCTATTCCGCTATTTAAAAAAACAAATTTGGTGAAACAATTATGAAATGGTGCAATTTGTTATTCTGTATCGATGTTTTCATAACGATCATTTAAGGTTATTTTTTTCCATAAAAACAGAACTTTTACCATAAATTTAGGAGAAAATGTTGAATAACTTAAAAATTTGCTCATGGTTTAAATTATTCTACTTATTATCAGTCCCCAGTTTGAAGGTTTATCATAACATAAATATGATACGCATAGAAATTTAACCATTTATAAATGTGGTGCCGTAAGACGGTGTAACATTGATAGTTTTTTTAAAGTATATTCTAAATATGTTTTAAATCAATTCATGTTTTTAATTTTTTTTTTTTTTTTTAAACAAGCAATGAGGACTCTAGAGTCGTTAGTAATGTGTTTAACGGAAATTAAAGCGTTTGCACTATTTTTTAGTCTTGTGACTCTACATAATTTTTTTTAAGTGAGATTACTTTGATAATGCTCGATTATTGTAAAAGAAAATGCGTGAAACTCAAATAATTTAGTTCTTGAAATATGAAAATTTGAATGAGTATATAATCGGAAAACGTCACAAGCATAAAACGTCATAAGAAATACATTTCGTAAGTGCTGGCTTGAGTGCTTTTTCAAACAGACGAGAAACAAGAAAATTATTTTTCAATATGTTTGTAAAAGATGTAACACATACTATATAAAAACTATATACCACATCAACGGAAATATCCTGAGTCTCCTACAAAGTTGCTAGTTCTAATATTTCTTATTTTGATGCAAACAATATTTAGGATGGTCCCTATTTAAATTTAAATCTACAGTCTAGCTTGTAACTTTGAGGTTAGGTGGATGCACTTTTCAGCAAAATTGAAGACAATATAGTTTCCGGCAACTTTGCTTAAGAGGCCTATTATCTAGTTCTTCGTTTGACAGTGTTAAGGCAATTCATCAGTTTTCAATTAGGGTAAGGATATCAGTTTTTTCCATTCAGTCTTTTTTGATTCACATTTCTTGAGAAAACAATGTAAGGAAGACTTGTAAAGCTAGCTACAGCAGACACTTTTGCTCAAAACATTACAGTCCTTTAACTAATGTCGTTTTCGTTTTAGCGGTGTAGCACCAGTGGCAAATGATTTTCATTGTTGTGAACCATGAATTTCGTTGTGATTTTATGGTAATGAATAGAAATGTCCAATTGTTTCACAATAAATATCATGGTTACAATGACAATGTAAATCATTTTATTTTTGTTTTATTTTTTTTACGGGTTGCTACACTGCAAAAACGAAAACGACATAAGTGAGCTGATTTGTGGTATGTGATTACTTTCAACCATATAATGAACTACCGAAAATCAGCTTAATTGGTTGAAGGACAACCGAGAAATAGCGCTATGCGGGGGATTCCTGTATGATGTTTGTATATCAAGAGCAAATTTTCATTATGTCGTAAGTAACATTCGCACCGATCCGAGAAAAATAAAGTTTTGTTTTGATGACCGAAAAGTTATTCCTATTTCCAATTAAACACATATAATCTCATAGTGATAGCAATGTTTAACATATTTAGCAGAGTTTTAATCATACAAATGCAAATCGCTAGCTTTCATGCTAAGAAATACTGGTTTTTGAGTCAAAAGTTATTATACGTCGTTTGGTGGCCCCTATTGTTACTTAAGTCAAAGTGTATTTACCAGGATATTCTGGAGAATTATCAATTACGTCTGCTTACGTGCAGCCTATTCATCATTTTAGGACCACCGAAATCATCTTAGCAACAAACAGTTCGATTTATTCACTTTAATCATGAGAAAGCGACACGACGAAAGTACACTTTTCACGGGTTTCTCAGTGCTGTTACTTAAGGCAAACGGCATCTCCATAGAAATCGGGTGACTTAAGTAACATCGAAAACTATTTTGATCGGAAGGTGATTACGTCAAAAAGCAATTCGACTGGTAAATAAATTTAAAAATGGGATGTGATCCTATATTCGGACAATATATAGTGTAATAGCAGGAGCATCGATTGACACTGATAGCTCGACTTTGTTTACCTTTGTTACATTCGACGTAATGAAAATTTGCTCTTGATATAAAAACTTACCTGGTGGGCAGGTGTTGACATCACATGGTTTCTTGCATTCTACGCTGGGATCGCAACATGCTCGCCACGGCCAATCGCAAGCCATCTCGTCCGTGTTGAAGTGCAGCCCTGGTGGGCAATCATATGGGCAAGCTTCATTTCTGTCACACTTGTAGAATTTAGAACAATCGGCATGGGGCAGGAGAACCGCTTCCATTGAGCTGACACCAACGCAGCTGGGGTGTGCCATGCAGTTCCTATCTATATCATCCTCCAAGCAGATTATAGATTTATCACAACAGGCCCTTGATGGCCAGTCACAAATCATTTCCCTGGCGTTGAAATGAAGTCCAGCGGGGCAGACACGTTCGCAGCCATGACCACTTTCACAACTCACATACTTTGTGCAATCATTGAGATATGGCAGAAGGGTAACTTTTGCTCCATTAGTAGCAGGGCAACGGCTGTCAATTGGACATGCTTGCCAACAGGAATCCGTGCACGGAGCTTGGCCATTGGTAGTAGCCCCAAATAGGGCCAGTGTGAGTATGAAATATTTCATATTTGTTGTTTTCACTTAGTGGTACAATTAGTTGAAAATGAAACTTAATAAATTATGTTGTGGACCTGCCAGCTTGCGTGTGACTGACTATTGAAACTACGAACAGCAATTATTTATACCACCAAATATTATCTTCCTGGCTGATTCGAGTGATAGTAATACGCTATTCCGTCATCAATTGCACAGGAACGAACCTAATGATGTAATTTGCCAAATCTTCAACTGTTCCATTAACATTGCTGCGTTATCGGACTGCATATGATGTTTTGCGTCATTTTAGATGGATATTAAGTGCCACAGCAAAAGATTGATGATATAAAAATGACACTTACATTGGCGAAGATAGATAGAGCAGGAGTGGTCAATTTGCACTAAAAATACACATTCTATGGTATGTATTTTTCGGCATCAAAATAGTCAATATGAATTTTTACACATACTGTTTTTATTACAACTAAAGGTGTAATCTTCCTTAGATTATTAGATAACTAATAACTCTTAACAGATATCGATAACTCTTCAGATTCATTTGCCGATTGCAGATTATTATATTATACCGTTTTGATTATGTCAACAAGCCTCTGTTTTTACCATCGAAGAGAAGCAAAATATCGGTATTTTGTTTTTCAAGCCGATATACACTAGGGTGGCTCCACTAAACTAAATCGATTCAAAATTAAGTTACTTACAATTCGAGTTTATTTAGATGCGAACTCATACTGCACTGGTCCTTCGAAGTTGATGTGGGAATAGGCTCTTTTCATGCACCATCAATGTAGAGCCAATTTTGAGAGGAAATGTCATCCAATCCGTTTGTTTACATCATAATGACGATTTTCAAAACTCAAAATAATGTACATTTTATTGCACAACTTGCAAATTTCCATCGGGAGCGGTCTTTTTTTTTCGTTTATCTACATATCTGATCTGATTTACAGCTAATCACACATTAAAAATCCGGAAGATCATAACCGCTGGGAAAATTTTATAAATCTAAATTTTTCTCATCAAAAATATATGGAAGCACCAGCCGGATCACTGCAAACCCGATACATGAGCATGAGCATGATTGACCGCCCACGGTTGCTATTTTGTTATTGCCAGACCAGCTGTAATCACACAGAGAATCAATAGACGATGCTTGGGACTAGCATTCATCCTCAATGTGTAAAAACTGGTGATCTCAAACTAGGCAGTACCAGCGCTGGCCGCGCCCGAACACAGGTCAAGAAAGGAAGGGGTAGGAATGTGTTGACGTGACATTCGCTTTGATGGAAGCCGAGAACACCTCTGCACTTCCACTAGGAATCACTGGGATATTGGGTAATATGGTTGGGTTTGCAGCAGGGTTCGTTTTGGTAAACGATAAGCTGAATTGATGTCCTAACACTCATATAACGCGAAGAAGCTTGGGATTTAACCCATGGTCTTCTGCTCAGTTAGCAAAAACGTATGCCACTAGGCAGACGAGCTCCTTTTTAATCATCGAGTTGCTGTTATTACCATGTAGTCATGTTAACAAATAAAACGATTGACGAATCTTGAATGTTGATGGGCTTGAGATTAGACTTATGATGTTCTCCTCTGTAAGCAAAACCGGTTTCTCTAAGGCCACCGAGCCCCTCATATCACATTATAGCATTACTCAAGTTTGTATAACTATTCATTAATTCCCGAGAAAAATCTTAGTTGGTGTGCAACTGTTTTCCCAGCACGGATAGCTTGAGTGTGCCAAGTTGATCGGTAACGAACATGTCGTGTCATGTGGGACTCATCGTTTCTTATCGGTTCGGAGTTCTGGCAAAGAAAAGCCCCAGAGTATTAGTTAAGTTAAGTTTTTCCATGGAAAGACGGACAATGAGGAGGCGAATTTTATAAGAGCTATCACGTCACATCTGAATACTGATGTGATTGCATCCGGATCATGTGATTTTGATAATACAAATAAAATTACAAGATTAATTTGATTAATCTTCCGGATTTAAATGCATCGATAAAACCAAGCGCATTCGAAAATAATCTACTTAAGGGAAATGGATGTAATTTCGGTCTACATGACCCTAAATTGAGCCCATACATAAATTCACCAATCGAATAAATTTTCAATAGCCACCAAAAATATCCAAAAGTACCGTCTCAACGACACGTTCATCTAGATAAAATTGATAAATAGCAGATTTTTATTGATGGGCCCAATCTTAGATCCATAGGCCAACATTAGAGCCATTTCCTCTATATAACAATGAATTTCTATCTGTCTGTCTGACCCTTATAGACTCGGAAACTACTGAACCGATCGGCGTGAAAAATTTTATGCAGGGGTTTTTGGGTTCTTATGATGGTTCAAGACCCCTCCCCCTCTGTAGGGGGGGCTCCTATACAAAAGAAACATAAAAATATAGCATGATTTATTGAATCGGCGCATAAACTCAAGCTAATATTGTATCCCGAGCAAGGTCGGGCACACTCAGCTAGTTTATTATAGAAAAAAAACATGAACATAAATCATGATTAAAATAAAAATATTTATTTGCGTTTACAAAGCTGTCAAATCGATCAAAAATATTCAAGTTTATTTACAACACGAATATTTGAAATATAAGCGTATAATGATTATGAAGTAATGAAATTGGGTTGTTAGCGGAATGCTAAATAAAACAGCAAAAAAGGTTATCTTCCATTTAATTCCACTTAATTAATTTTGGTATCCATGACAGATACGTATTTCGACTACAATGTGCAGTCTTCATCAGTGTCATTTCCACTAAAGAACTTATCAAAATCTAACCCCCTTAAGTACTCATCCCCTAGGTACTTACCTAGGGGATAGGTACTTACCTAGGGGATGAGTACTTAAGGGGGTTAGATTTCGATAAGTTCTTTAGTGGGAATGACACTGATGAAGACTGCACATTGTAGTCGAAATACGTATCTGTCATGGATACCAAAATTAATTAAGTGGAATTAAAAGGAAGATAACCTTTTTTACTGTTTTATTTAAGCATTGCGCTAACAACCCAATTTCATTATTTCCTTATGAATTATGGTTTTTTGGAAGTGAACCTTACAAATAATGGGTTGTTAAGGACCATTATCATTCCAAATTCTTTTTGACGTAGACTACGTCTTACGGGAAGGTACTGGGGGCAAATCGAAAATCTAAAATTGCGACCGTCACGAAAAGGTGTAATTTTTTAAACGCTATATGCTTTGTCATTTATAGATGAAATTAAAATCCGAATACACCAATCGATAGGAAATACCTTTCGTAAGCTGTAGCAATAAACTTTTTTTCAATTTTTCATAAAAAACTGTTTTAAAATTCGACAAATAAAAAGTGATAATTTTATCACTGTTTTCATGAAATAACGTTCTCCCCAAACCCAGCCCTCATAATCAAGTACAATTTGGTTGCACATCGTGCTGCTTGAATCAGAAAAGTTATAATCAAGCCCGCAGAGTTCAAGTTTTGCACCTCGAACTTTGCGCGTCGTTCCCGTCGAGATCATTGGCTGCTGGTAGCGGCGTCGCCACGATGGAGCAAGCGCTCCTTGCCTGAATGATAACTATAAATCTCGATTACTTTTCGGAAAGACATGAAAGCCATTTTTCCACCAATGAGAGTGCAGCACATGTTTGTAACGATCGGTGATGATCCACTGGAGATGTTAATGCTTGTATCGGCACGATATAACCGATTACAAATACTTTACTTTTCGGTTCGTTGATCAATAATTATTCGAATCAAAATCGGCCATCACTAGATGAATGTGAAAAGTCATTTCAAATATAAGGACCGTACATAAATAATGATAAGTAAACTATCTACACTGAAAAAAGTTTTCACTTAGTTTCTATTAGGAACGCACATAGTATTTTTCCAAAAACAAAAACAATGATTTTTACCTGAATATCACACAGCATTAGAAATTCTATATGGGAAATCATATAGATTTCATTGGACACATAACGTTCATGTGATTTAGTGGTGCAATTTCCAATTATGGGATCACATGAAAGTTATTTGAAATTCACATGAATATTTTCCACAAAAAATTTTTAGAGTACAGATATCAGCTCTCACAAAACTTATAACAATGAAACTGGAACTTCACGTTTGTTGCAGTCCAGTACACAAGGAGTTTCAATTTCATGAGTGATGACACAACCGTCCAAGATTTATGTCCTTGAAATCTTGAAGTGATAGGGAATATCAGCTATCATGACGGTCATTGTTGGACGCTTCAATGAATCACCTGAAGAAAGCCTTACTCATATCTGATTGTAATTTAGGAACCAAATGAAATAGAATATGTATTCGCATTTTTATGAGGTCCTGAATTTAACCAAGTTTTACTAAGTAGGAAATCCAAAATATGTACTGTACATAGGACCGAAAGGTTACTTCTACTGTATTTTAAATCAATATCTAGAAAAAATACACGAAAATTCACTACACAACTTAAGGGGGTAGTACACTTTGAACGTCCAAAAAGTAAGGCATTTTCGTTAATTTTTTTAAGCAATAAAACACTCAGGGAGGGCAAATATGTTATAACCCATTTATTAGTCATCCTTCGAACTACAATTTGTATTTTTTTGAACTCGATTGGCGTCTCCCCGTGGCCGGTGCACCAGGTCGCGCGGGCGTCCTCGCGCGGAAGTCGGAAAACGGCGTGGGAAAATACTCCTTTCCATGTGATCCTGGAACATAAATCGAACAAAAATCCTGATTAGTAATGAAATTTGGGTTAGAAATACGTATACGTATTTAATTAAAAATAAAAAAGTTGTGGCTTTAGGAAAAAAAAAAAGTCCATTTTTCCCCCCTAAAAATGTTTACAAAATCGTGGATTAAAAATCCAAATGCAAAATAATGAATGTGCGTTCACAAAACGCACGAAATCTTAAAAAACCATATTAAGTTTGTTTTTAATTCAATCAATAGATTAAAGATGTACCGAGAATTAAATCGAGGGATTTCAAGCTGAAATGTTCTGATCGTGAAATATTG